CTGATACCCAACACAACAATGGGTAACAGGGGACGCATTAGCTAAAGAGGGTTACCAAACTGGCTGAGCAGCCCAGCAGCCACAATTGTGGGGTAAGAAGATCCTTAGGGACTAGACCACTGAGTCAGAGTTTGGACTGAAGCTTAGCTACCTTCATAAAAGGGAGTTCGTTAGAGGCTTCTAATCACTCCAGTCTGGGAATTACTGCCATCATTCACATGGAAGACTGATGCCTGCTGTCCACCTTCGGGGCCATTGTGGAGGCTCTGATTGGGAAATCTGCCATCGATCTCCCCCCACCACAGCCCTGCTGCTTGGCTTTCAGAGGAAATGGAGGCACAGTGAGGAGGCAGATAGAGAGGGGGAAAAAAAAACAAGCAAGATGCAATGAAAAAAGGTATTAAGGGTCTGTGGGAAAATATGAGCATAAGCGGAGAACTCACTGCAAAGGTCAACATGTATTTAAATCCGATCTTTGCCACTGAGGAACCCAAGGACAGATGTATCTAATTTTGTATTATGTTTTGACCCAGCTTAATTATATCTATTTGACCCATTTCAATTATATCCCATCACTGACTTCAAAAAGAATATTCAACACTGAAAGTAGACGTGCTAAATTCATTTAAGCTGTTACTACATGCTGCTCAGCCTTCCTTCCTCTCCCCAGCCCTCATTCCTTAACTCTTTAACACCCAACTCTGATAGAAAGCAATGAATCCCAAATATTCTTTCCTAGGGTGACACCTTACTGCTGAATGATCATCTCCAATTTTAACTGCTCTCTTCCTCAACCAACTGTGTGTCTGTATTTGAACCCATTTCTATTCCATATGGTCCCCTTCACTGCTTAGATTTGGCCTGCTCTGTTCTTCTTTTACAAGACCGTCATCTACCCCTGACACTCATGTGGTACTCAAAATCCTTGCTCAACACAGGCTAGGTGCAGGGTCACAAAATTAAATAAGGCTCAGGCTCTGCCCCCAGGAATCTCAACTTAGAAGGATATCCTTTTCTCTCTCTACTGTGGCATCTTTCCAGGACCCTTTACCCACCCAAACCTCTGTCAGTGTAGTGCCTTAAGTTAACATCTGTTCAACTCTCATCTGTTCTCCCACTTTCTAAAGGGATTTTAGTTATTCTGTCTGGATGTCAGCTCCAATTATGGGCCTCCAGCCTTGACTTGGCAACCGTACTCATCACCGTCTAAGCAAGCCAGTGTTCCCTTCAAGCCTCTCACCCTCCCCTTTTTTCCCAACAGGCTTTTGGTGCTATGTCGAAGTTGGACTTCTTTCTGTTCTTCAATCACATTCTTTCTATTCTAATTTCCATGTCTTTAATCACACTATTTCCATCTGTTGGAAAACTCCTCACCCCATCTGTGCCTGCAAAACAAACAAACAAACAAAACAAAACAAAAACCTACTCATTTTTTAATGCCCATTAAAATGCCACCTGTTGGGATATGTGTTCTATTCCTTCTGTGACCCTCCATTTCCAAAACCTAGATGCAAGTTGTTAGGCTAGGTTGCCTAGTAACCTCTGATGTCATCACCAGCCGCAGCCAGTTGCTAGGCAGGGTGATCCAGATATAAAGGACCTGCTGGCACTTCCTCCTCCTCCTCCTCCTCCTCCTCTCTCTCTGACTTTACCAGTTTCTCTCCCTTCCTCTGTTTCTTTCTGGGGCACCCCTACCCCTTTTCTTCCCCCCTCCTTCCGCAATAAACTTTCTTTCTTGTAACAAATATGTTGTGGCAGATTCTTAATTATAACATAAATTCTGGTCCTTTGTGTCCTCTGGTGGCTTGTTATGCCTTTCTAAAGTCTCCTAGTTTGACCTCAACTAAATGTCTATCTGGTTCTCCATTTTGGTCTGTGACTCCTGCATTAGGCTATAGTCAGCTCCAAATCCTGCTGCTGAGTGACTGATGTGGATGCCATATCATACTCAACATAGCCTTTCTTGATTGAGCTGCAACCCACAAACTCAAAAGTCCACTTTTTCCACCTCTCTAACCAATAACTGTTCTTACTTGAAAACCTCCTTAAGAAATGTGATGCAGAGGCAGGCTGATCTCTGAGTTCTAGGCTAGCCTGGTCAACAGAGTGGGTTCCAGGACAGTCATGGCTACTTCGAGAATCCCTGTCTCAGTGGTATGTGTGCATGTGCATGCTTGAGTGTGTGTGTGTATTTAGGATAAAAATTATTGTTGTTTTGCCTTGTTATGAGATCTGTTTAGTTTGGAGAGGAATAAACATGTTTTTCCTCATCAGAAATACAACGATTGCAAGGTACTTCAAAGAAGCTACTACGATGAGCATTTAGGGACAACAAAGCAGAGGGGGAGAGCTAGAGCGACCCACATACCCATGCCACCTCTCTTCCCTGTGTGGCCTCAGCTCAGAGATTAGGCAAAATAAAGCTAACCTTCTGGAAAACACAAAAGGGGATTCTTTTTATTTTCTCTTTGGAAAAAGATGCAGAATTTTGTACATTTTTTCTAAGTTTACATTTTCTTTAAAGATTATAATCCTAACAGAGAGCCGTGAGGCACAGAAATCCAGCACTCATCTCCTTGTCTTGAAGAAATTACAGTATCTGTAAAGAGAGTTTCTGTATCATGGACATCAAATTTCAATCTCCCTAAAAATATCACTTAGCCCCCCAGGATCTTTCCTTAAATAGTAAAGCAGGGTCCAAAGCACAAGTCTGAGCAGATCAGAGCATAGTGACAATAGGAAAAGGGAACTGGACCTCTCTAGGCCACCCTGCCTGCTAGGCAGGAGGGAGGAGCTTTCCAAGGCAAATCTCTGAGCCCCAGGGAGGACCAGTTGGAGACCATTGTTTTTGCAGGTTTTATTTGTACTCTTTCAAGGTTCTGAAGATTAACCCTAACAAAAGACTCAACTTTTGTGCAATGTAGAATGACAACAACAACAACAAAAAAAAGGTCAGGACAATGAAACAAGCAGTGGGGGCCACTGAATTCTAGCAGGTAGGTAGAGTCATAGCAGATGCCTGTGGCCATTAGGGCTCCCTGGAAAGACAGAAAAATGTGAACAAATGGAGTCCTTAATATTATCCTTAACTACTTTATACACTGAATGCAATAATGCACAATGTGTGTTATAAAAATGGAAGGGGATGATCAAAGTTAAAGTAACGAAGTAAGATTACAGACAATTTATTTAAGGTTATGCTTGATGGATCTCACCTTAACAAGAATATGTGCACACATGTGAACTCACATACATACAGACGCAAGATTTCAGAAGAATCATGGACAAATTTATTTTTTGAGCTGAAGTCCTTATCAAACCAAACAAATTAAAGTACGTTGTTAAACCCAACCCCGCCGAAAGATAACACCAGGGAGGAGCCAAGTCAGATCAGAAATGAAGTATCCTTCAGTGACTATCATTAGAGTTTCGTTATCAGAATTCATGAGTTCTGGAGACATTTTCCTTTCCCTGGAGCTATTTAATATACATCAAGGACACAACACAACACCCGAGGGGAGAATCACCGCACAACTTTGAAAGGCCTTCTAGCATTTAATTAACAAAACCTGTACATGGAGACATTCGGACCATTTTCTTTAACGTAGATAAATAGTTGACAAATTAAAGTTTCAAACAAGTTAAATGGGGCAGTGGATGTGAAAACAAAGGCGATCCATCCAACTGTCCTGGCTATTGCGGGTTGTAGTTTAAAACAAAGAGGGAGCAGAGAAAGGGCTCAGTGGGTAAAAGCACGAGCCATGCAAGCCTGATGACCTGGAATGCATGTTTGTTAGTGGTTTTTGTTTGTTTTTGATGGGTAGGGTAGTAGGCATCTGTAATCTCAGCACTTCTAAAATGAGATGGGAGACAGAGGCAGAAGAATTGCCCAGAAGCTTGCTGTCTTGCTGCATGGTGGAGGCAGAAGCCGCAAGAAGAGAGTCCCTCAAAGCGTAAACTAAGAATCAACCCCTGAACGGTGACTTCCACATGTGGCCTGTATGCAGCCCCATTCACACATATGTCACACACATGCAGGCCTGTGTGAACAAAGGGGGAAAGGGTAGGAAGGCCAGCCTAGACTGAATCAGCATTGATTCAGTCAACAAATTAACAAGACAGAATCTCCGTTTATATAATGATGACTTTTTAGGCCATTTCACATCAGGAAATTTCAATGATAATGTTTTGGTAAAGGAGACATGACTGTTCTACCTCGCTTTTCTGTTGCTCTGACAAGACGCTCTGACCAAAAGCAAGGAGGGGAGGAAAAGGTTTACTTGGGTTATACAATCCATCATTGAAGGAAGTCGGTTTGCTTCTTGGCTCTCTGCTTGGCTCAGGCTCAGCTAGCTTTCTTATTCTATTCAGCCTACAGATGATGCCACCCATACTGGGCAACCAAGACAGTGCCCCGCAGCCATAGCCACAGGATCAGAAATTCTTAAACTGAGGTTCCCTCTTCCCAAGTAACTCCAAGTTGTATCAAGATGACAATAAAACCCCAGGCAAAAACCTTCTGAACACAGTGTGATATGCACATCTCAAAAATCCTGAACTAATTTTATACAATCAAATAATACATAAAATATATGGTGATCATGAAAAATAATGAGCCTGGTCCCTGGTGGTGGTCACTCTCTTCCTTTCATATAGTGATATTTAATGCTAACGCATATCAGTTAACATGCTTGCCATTTTTCTTGGGAATGTGGAATAGTACTACATGCAAAATCTTAGAGAAGATTCATGATAAAGGTTTATGTATATCCTACCAAAGCTAGTCCTTATAAAAAACATTAAAGAAAACCCTCCTTAAGAGTTCTAAAAATTATACAAAAAAAAAAAAAAAGGTTGGAGGAAAATGGCTTAGAAACAATGTCATAAAGAAATTCATGGTGCCATTTAAATCTGGTTTGAAATCTCTATAATTTTCCTATGAACAAGCTACAAAGCAAGTGCAAAGTTTCCATCATTGTGTTATAGTGCTCGGAACTTACTTTCGAAATCCAGGAAAAAGTGTGGATAATTCTCAATTTCCCGGGTCAGGACTTTGAGCAAGTTTCCCATGCCAGCAAACCTAGGGAAGACGACACAAAAGCAGACACCATCAGGGATGTGAAAAGCATACACCTCCATCTCCTCCGTCTCCTGAGGGCCAGGAGGAGAGCAGCTCCATCACTGGAGATGAACCTTCAGAACTGTCCCCGCAAGGCTCATCCCTGAGCTGCTGGGAGCTAAGTGTCCCGAGGTGGGCCTCTCCAATGCAAAGCAGCATTGGAAGTGTGTGTCCCGAGCCTCTGAAGAACACACTTGCTCCCTGCATCTCGTTCACTAAGAAAACAAGTGAAAAAAAAAAATAGCAAGTGAGTATTCTCTTAGAAATCGAGCATCTCTGAAGAGGAATTTTGGCTATTTCTATAAAATCCCGGTCCCTTTTATGAGCCCACATAACCATATACTTGACACCTCTGCTTAGCTTTTGTTCCTACTAGTGTAGAGCAAATCATGTCTTTGGACAGGCATGACAGACAGGGTGTCGTTAACATATCTGCCAGGAATGGTAACGGTTTCTCTTTTCTCTTCTCTCTTGTGTTCTTTTTTTTCTTCTTCTTCTTTTTAAATTTTTCTTTCCTGCCTTCTTTCTTCCCCACCACCGCCTCCCACCATCTCTCTCCAACTTGTGAGGTAGCCCAGATTTCCAGGGTCTTACTATGTGGTCCACACTGTCTTTGAACTCACAATCCTTCCACCTTAGTCTCTCAAGTGCTGAAGCTCCAGGCGTGAATCACCATGTCCAGCATAAATATAATAAAGTTTGTAGAATAGAGAGAGGAAACAGACTTAGGACCCCAGGGACTCTCTTAATGAACAAGATTTTTCAAACTGAAACTCCTAGACTAGCTACAGGTTTTCATCATTTGGTGTTTCAATGATAAAACACTACTACATAAAATTAAGAGTTGCAAAGCTTTGGGTTGGTGGGAGGGCTCTGGAAGGTAAAGGCACTTGCTGCTATGCCTGACAACCCAAGTTTAATCCCCAGATCCTACACAGTGGAAGGAAAAGAGGTGACTTCAACTCCATCTGCTAAGGTGTTGTCTGACTTCTAGATATGAATGAGAATGTGTGCACACGAGTGACACACACACACACACAATAACACAAACAACAGTAAATGCAATTTTAAAAAAATGAAAAAGGTAATATCAAGAAAGTCATTCTCAATGAAACAGCAGCCCATGGGGCTGGAGAACTGGCTCAGGAATTAAGAATTTCTATTGCTCGTCAATCTAAAAAGGAAAGAATGGTACGAGTTAAATTTTTGAAGTAAACAAATTTTCAAGTAAGCAAATTTTTAGAGCTCTCAGCCCTGGACACTAACTGTCTTCTGGGGAGGCCACTTACCCACATATCCTATTCATTCAACATATTTATGTGACTGAAGACAGATCAGGACTTGTGTTCTGTGGAGGGTCTTCATCTACCTCTGCTTTATTGATGATGATGATGGTACTCACCTTCATGATTATCCTTACCACCTTCAGACACACTTAGGATTTTCCCTTGCAAGATGGGTTTTGTAGGCTTCATGTTGCTCTCCAGAGGAAAAAAACCAATGGAGGAATATGCTGCACTTCTCTCTCCTGAAGAAACATCTTCCCTATCCTTTCTGCCATTTTGATTTCCATCCCCTGCCTTTATGCACATTTCCAGTGAGAATGTATCTGAGCGAGTCCCATGAACTGCAAACTCTGCCAGCTGTGAAGCTGAGGATTGGTATAGTCCACCCTGAACTAGACGGTATTCTCCAGCCCTCTTGGAGCTCACTGTAATGAGCAATTCTGGATCTGAGTTGGAGGAACTTCTTTTTGTTTGTTTGTTTGTTGACACAAGGTTTCTCTATGTAATCTTGGGTGTCCTGGACTCAGTTTGTAGACCACCCTGGCATTGAGCTCACAGAAATCTGCCTGTCTGGATCCCCAGTGCTCGGATTACAGGACTGTGCCACTGTATAAAGGTAACTCAGAATCACCTTTCTCCTAAACTCCTTTTTTGTACGTTACTGTCCTGCCAGAATCCCAATGTGGGAAATATGCTGAGCCTTTGAAAATTGTAAAAGCCTGAAACAAACTAATGTGGAGCTATCTCCAAATGTTAACTGTAAAAGTTTGACTCCTCATAAGGTTATTATTATTTTTTTTATATCCATTTTATTTTATTTTAATTTTTAAAAAAGATTTATTTATTTATTATGTATAGTGTTCTGCCTGCATGTACACCTGCATGTCATAAGAGGGCATTAGATAATTAGATCACTATAGATGGTTGTGAGCCACCATGTGGTTTTTTTTTAAACTTTTATTAATTACACTTTATTCACTTTGTATCCCCCCATAAACACCACCCTCCTCCCCTGCCGACCCCACCCTCCCTTGCCCTTCTTCACGCATGCCCATCCCCAAGTCCACTGATAGGGGAAGTCCTCCTCTCCTTCCTTCTGATCTTAGTCTATCAGATCTCATCAGGAGTGGCTGCATTGTCATCTTCTGTGGCCTGGTAAGGCTGCTCCCCCCACCCCAGGGGGAGGTGATCAAAGAGCAGGCCAATCAGATTCTCATAAGGTTATTTGAAATGCTTGGCCAATTACCATAAATATTTTGGAACATGGGTCTAATATCAGCCAGGCTCAGCTACCTGGAACATTTGGGATTCTAGATATGTGAGCTATCAACCCAGAAACATCTAGAACAATGACTTGGGGCATGATGGACTATTAAGGGTTAACTCTGTTCCCAAGGAACCTTGGAAGCACTTCTTCCAAACCCAATGAAAGATGCCTAAGTTCCCATAGAAAAAAAAAATTTCATCTCATCTTCACGGGAAAAAGATGTGATGCACACTACGTTTCTCTATGGTCCATAATGCATGAGAGTCTACTCTCATTTAGGCAAGTCTACCAAGTGAAAGGCATATCATGAAGATGGTCACCAAACAGAGCCAACTGTTTGTTTATCACGCACATATCCTGAATCAAACCCAGGGCCTTGATTGAATATGCTATCACCGAACTTTTGAGCTACATCCCCAGCACTCTGCGCCCTCACCGCGGTACTTTTTAAGCTGAACCCTGGACTCTAGAAAGGCCCTTCACCTAAATTCTTCATGACAGGGCCTCTCCAATCTGTTCAAACAGCTCCTTTGTGAGCTATGCACCACAGTGCTAGGGAGACAGCTTAATTAAAATAGATTAATACTTGAGATTAGACATATTTTATGTCATTCAATAAAAGAATAACATTTCATGCCCTACTAGAGGATACAGATACTGACATATTTAAGTTGGAGCAAAGAAAATATGGAGAGCAGATTGGGAGCATCAGGCAGGACACAAAGTAGAGGCCATCGGGAAAGTTGCTAGAGAAAGACATTTTGCATTTGAGCTTTTGCAGAATCAAAGAGCAGGAGGCAAAAATAGCCCCTTTCAGGATTTGGCATCCAAAAAAAATATAAAAAATAAAAATACAAGATTACAGTGGTTAAATATAGTCAGCATGGTTAAGAGCGAGGGAAGACAAGGAAAATTCCCTACTGACTCAGAGTAGCTGCTTCCAAGAGGATATCTGAGGATACACTGAGTCACAGTGTATGGGTGCAAAACTGCCTGCTCTGGCAGTCCAGGGGCACGCTCTGCAGAGCAGGGAACTGTGGCTTGCAGTTCTACTCAGTGACTTCCTGGCTCCCATTCTCCTATGACTCGCTGGTCTTGTTTCAAAGATTATCAGCTGCTTGTCATTCCTTCCCAGCTGCAGGGGCTTACGTCACAGAGAACACAGCAATGCAGAAGTTGCTCAGAGCCCCCCTCCCCCCAGATGAACCTTCTTCCTAAAAAAGGTCATCTGAGAACAATGTGGCAGCAACTTGTTCTCAGATGTTTTCTGGTTTTATAGAAAACACACCGCCATTTATAACTGCCCTTTAAGAAATGACTGGGCCTATGCTGAGCATCCCTATGCACAGGTCATGCAGCCAGGAAAGCCATGATCTCAATGGCAGGTAACATACAGCCTACTTAGAGCCTAGGGATTTAATCTAGCTGAAAGTACATAAACACATCCAGGCACATAGTAAGTGCTCAAAGATGTTCATTGATTATCCATCAATATGTGGAAATAATAGTGTGGACCTGGTACTTATGAAGAGAGAATAATACCTACCTGGTACTTATGAATAATAGTATGAACCTGGTACTTACAAAGAACATCAGCATTTTATGGACTACCTACTGTGTGTCTATAAGCTTTCCCACACTTTATTTGTTCAAATCTGATAATGATGTGCAAGAGCCTATGTTTATGTTCACATGGGCTGACAGCAAAAGAAGGGGTTCAAAATGGGTAAGTGGCAAAAGACTTTGAAAGTCTCACACTTGACTTTGAAAGTCTTAGAATGCAAGGTATAAGCTCTTTCTCTATTGGAGACAAAGTAGTGCACCAGACTCTCCAGGGTTCCTGTGTTATCAGGCATACACCACTTTTCTATGGAGAGGCTTACAGCTTCTATTAGATATCAAAGGTGTTTGCTCCACTTTCTGGCATGCCGAGGAAGCTTATATTCCTCAGTAATTCAGAGAAGAGGTGAACCGAATGGGGCAACATCTCCCGGACAAGTCTGCTTTACTCAAGAAGGAAGCTAACCCCCTGCAGAGGGACCTGGGGAACACAGGTTGAGGGGAGTTCTCCCATCTGGGGGATATTAGGAGTTAGGAACTAAAAGGTATACAAGATGGGTGACTGGTGAAGATCCCTCCAAATAGGCAAAACAAATGGTATTTCTCTGGCCATGCCGGTATCTGTAAAGATAGCCTGAATGTTCTTGACACCCTGGGGAAACATTATTTTTAAGGGCTGGCAACTTTGGATATACAAATGATTTTTTTTAATATATATATATTATCACTTTCTTGGTTCTCAGTTCAACTGACATTTATAAAACTGGCTCTATTATCAGTCAGTGGAAAATCCACAACTTTCCAAAAGAAATTATTCACCGCTAACATTTTCAGTTTCAAAAAAAAGG